GCAGCGCAGCGGACTTCAATTACCTGAAAGGGGAATAACGCATACGGCAGAGGAATACACTCGTCGAGGACGTACTCTTTCCGTTGAGCAAGCTCGGCAGATCGGCGCTTGGGCGGCTGCTTCTCTGCCGCTATATCGCTTAACAGTCTCAGGTGAATGAGCATAGGAAAGGATGGATCCACATTCGGGGCACACCCAGTCCTCGCAAGCATCAGAGCACTTGAGCAGACGATCAGCGAGAAGGGCAGATGTTCCATGAGAAATCAATGAATCACGTTCCATCTCGCCGAACCGCACACCACCATGCTTCTTACGACCCTTCACGGGCTGTCTCGTGAGAGGGTCGATGGGACCCGTAGCACGGACCTGGAACTTATCGAGAACCTAAGGAGTAGCGGTGACACTCAGCTCAAGGAGTACCCACCGAACACTACCATATGCCTCAATCTCTGATAATACACAACGCCCATGTAAATATGAGTCTTCAACGGTTCTCCATGCATACCAGAGTAGAGCTCCTCCGCCCCAAGATATTCATAACCGAACCTAGGACCAAACACGAGTGCGATCTCGCAATATACATCTGGCATTATTATTACTTCTTCAAGGTCTCTCCGAAGTACTCATGAGCTGTGGTATCACCAGGAGCATAGGGATCCTTCTCGTTGTTATGCTCAGTGTCAAGGAGGCCCTTACCACGGTACTGGCGGAAACTGTTGGCGTTGACCACAGGCATGCCAGTGAGAGCAGCAGCCTTGCCCGCCATGAATTCTATAAGCATACCTGATAGTAGAAATCTAATAAAGGAGTTGACCATACTCCGACGGCTTTACCGATGGTCATTCGACTGGGCATACCATGAGGATTGAACATAATGTCGGGTGAGATGCCAGAGGTACCTGGGAAGTTGGATAATGTGAAGAGGACTAGCGAATAATAAGACTTATTACCACTGAAGGGCATATCAGCTTGCGGCCACAAGATGGCCATAACGCCCTTCTGACCATGTCGAGACGAGAACTTATCACCCACAACAGGGTTCCTAAAGGAGAGTAATTGACGACAAGACATGACTCTTGACCCTACCTTGGCAGTCTAAGCTTAATGGACATCCTCTCGGAGCCGTCCTTGATGCCTCCAGGGTTTCTAGCACCAGCTCCTCCTCCCCACCAGCCACCACCGCCGATCATATTAACTTGCTCTACCCATGCGACCTCTCCTTCCTTATACTTCTCCAACTTGGCTTCACCAGTACCCTTGTTGAGCACACGGCAGATGGGATCTCCCTCGTGCACTTGCTGACCGATATACGGTATACCATCGTAGTCGAGATCCTTCACGACCTTCTCCCCCTTCACGCTGTGGTTATCAGCCCGGAACTGAGCTAGCCGGGAGCCCACAGTACCCTTAGGGGGGCAGTTGATGACCTTGGTCTTGTACACAGAACCATGCTTGAAGCCTCTATCATAACTACCCTTAGAGATGATAAGGGCATCCTCCATATCGAAACCAGAATGAGCAATGACAGCTACAATAGCGTTAGTGCCAGCGGGTTTGACGTCGAAGTTCGCTTCGCTCAAGACCGTAGTGCGAACCATAGGGAACTGAGGATAGGTAATCTTATAGACCTAAAAGGATCAATACAAGGGGGTTCTGATGACAGGAGCTGAAGTACCTTGTTATCAGTGCGGTAAGGATGGTTGAGATAGGGTATGGCCATAGTCTGTTTAAGCATCTGGCACTGGTACATGTTACGAGGACTCTGATTATGGTTAGAGAACGGGGTGAGACCAGCGATGACCGATAACATAGATATGGGACTCAGCTCGATATGAGTGTACTTCATTGGGATGTTCTCGGGGACACTAGACGTTTTAGTGGATGCTTCCAAGTCC